TGAACTATAGTTCGCATGCCAAATTTAACTATACGAAACTGGTCCGCAAATGTATAGACATTCTATTAAATTACAATGTGAATTATTATAAGTCTCCTTTGTGGTACTTTCCAAAAACTCGACTACGGGGATTTAAATTTAAAAAAATGTGATTTAGGTAACCTATTGGCTATTGATCTATTATAAAATAGAAAATGAACCTATACCAATAATATCACTACCTATATAAAATAATTAAATGTGATTATTTGAAGACGATTTCTTAAAACCTCTAAAATATTTTAGATTCTGAGTGGAGCGATGAATGTATTGATTTTACAATGATGTGTGTATTTTTTTTTTTTTTTTGTGTATATCGTTGGTGCATTGGGGAGGTCAAAATTTAAATTTCCCAGTAGTTTTCAAAAGCTCCGGGAAAAACAAAAGAAAAATTAAGGAAAAACGGGAATTTTTACGCAAAATCTGTTTTCGAGAAAATCGATTTTGGTTTTTGGTGTAACTTTAAAACAAAGGACCGTAGATACATGAAATTTTCAGTGGTTGTTTATATTTGTATTTTCTATACACGATATTATTTTCAAAATATTTTGATTTATTTTGAACTGTTTAGGGACATTTTCAGTTTCCAATTTTATTAGTTTTTTTTTTATGAATATCAATAAAAATTTATTTGTTGAGTAAAAATACTTGAAAATTTAATATAAAATAAATATTGCATATGTATATAATATAATGTAGGTACAAAGTACCTAATTGTATACGTAATTAATTTCGAACAACCTCATGTCCTCACGTGATTACATGTTTATTCTATTTCTATACATACCTGCCTACTTAAATAATAACCTGCCTCTATAATATAAGTAATACATAATATATTAATATCTATGTTACCTGTGAACAGTTTTTCGATGTAACCTTTACCAACCATACCGATTGTATATTTTATTCTATCGTTGTTTAAAAATAACATTTTTGAATTTATTTAATGAACATAGCAAACTATCGAGTTATATTATATAATACATATAATACTATTACCACTTAAACTATAAAAAATATATCTATAGGTACTATATACGTTATTAACGTTACACGAGTTTGCGTCTTAAAGGATGCCAACACCTTAGATACACATCTCAGTAAGGGATAAGTACCTATATAAAGTAGTATATTATAGGTACGTGTTAGCACTTAATTTTTTCAATCATTAGAGTGAAACCACGAACATCCTATGAGCTAAAATAACATGTTTAAATTTTCGCATTTTCGAGACCGCAAGGTAAACTGCAACTTGCGAATGGGTAAAGACGTCATAAATTAATAAAGTCAAATTAATTTTCTTTCAAACAACAAATGTTTGCAGTATAATATACAACACAACATAACACAAACATTTATGTATGTTTAGACGTCACGCTGTTATTATACTAAATATATAGGTATTAATAAAATAATAATACATTTTTAATGAAAATGATTAGTTAGGTACTATAATTATATAGTTAGTTATAACTTATAATGACTTTTGTTCAGGAAGTACCTATATCTACCAATTTCAGAAAGTCGTATCAATTTACATGCTTACAAAAATAACTCATATAAAACATAGTTTATATACACCCTAAGTTCTAATAGGTTTATTCAACCATTAAGACGGGTCTTCGCTTTACCGAACGGCAAGTCACGTATTTTTTTTTCCGGTTGGCCGGAGACGTATCTACCAAAATTGGCAAAATCCATACATGCCAATAAGTATTTTTATTTTAGATTCTGACCGTGGACAGGGAGTCATTGACTTTACAGTATAATGCATATTTTTTTTATTTACCATACACTCACTTTGGAGTAATAAATGTGATTGAAATGTTTCGTGTAGGTCTGTAGTCTGCTGTAACATGTGCAATCAATTGTAAATCGGATATACACTGTACGTATTCTGTTTGGCGAAATTTCAATTCGTGAAAACAACTATGGTAGGTACGCGTCTTTATAGTAATACACGATAGTACATGAAGTATACCGAAATAAGTACATGTCAAGTGTCTATACACATCTATATATACCTACTATAATTATTTATCAAAACAGTTTATAGAGTTTTGTAAATTAATAATAATATAGATAGGTACTGTTGAGATTTACTGGACACAATAAATAACTTTCAAGCCATTCACGGGGTTTATTCAATTTTTTAAATGATTCTCATTTTTAATTCATGCGTGATATTTTTTGCCACTCAATGATATAAATTTGGTAATGTAAACTTTCTAGTTTACCAGAGGCGGTTCAAGTTATATAATTCTGTCTTTAAAAAATCTAGAAAATCATAAATCAAAATTTTTTATACAAAAGGTAAGCTTATAAAGTTTTTAACACAAAATGTGATTTATTCATCAGCAAATGAGATTTTCTCAGAATCATTTTTAAAGTATGATGATTTATGGCTTTCACCGTTCAGATTTTAAAAAGTCATCAACACACCTCTGGCTAAACAACTTTAATAAGTAGCTTAGAGTTAGGTAGGTATGTGAAAAGGATGTAATAGGCTATCCCAAACAGCAATAGGTATGTATTATTATTTATTTTGTAGTTACTTCATACTTGTTACATAGTAATAGTCTGTAGACTTTAACTTAGCCTTCATATGTAGGTACCTACCTATATTGACATTGTATATATTATACAGAGTGATTGGCCGACATTTTGTCTCAATTATGCATTTATTCAAAGTTAGATCTTTGATATTGTTCTGTTTCTAACCTATATTTAAGGGTGGTGAAAGTGAACCATTTCTAAGGGGTCGGATTTAGGCAATATTATGATAAAATAAATCATGGGCAATATTCTATAATATCCTTCGTGAGTGATGTGTAAGTGATGTGACTGATCGTTATTCATTAGTGTGAGTGAGTTCCCCGACATCTTTGTATAATTAAAGATAAGACTCTTGGAAATGAGTTACATACATCACTATATTATTTTGCGATCAAAACACGTAAGAAAAATTCACCCATACCAAAATCCGAATTTTAATTTTGAAAACATATTTGAATTCCTTATTATCTTTTCTAGGTTAGCTAGGAAATGGATTTTTGATTTTTTGTATTGTTTAATTAGTATAGTAACCAAAAATGAATTTTCTTTTTACAGAATTAACTTTTACTTTAGTGTTACTTACTAAAAAAAAAAAAAAATCGAAAATGTATTTCCTTTAGCTCTCATAACCTAAATTAGAGAATAAAATGGAATTCAAACATTTTTCAAAATTAAAATTGGACTTCTGCAAGTATATTATTTTGTTTTCTTCCCCTATAATTATTGACAAGTGCCCTGTGGTGATACAATTTTCAATCTCTCTGCAAATCAGAACCAATCTATATTGAATATTTTACCCTGTAAATTGTTAAGCAGACGAATTGTATAATGTCTTAACGTTAAACGTTGGAACTTGGAAGTAAAGAATAAATAAAAATATCGAAAGTAGGACCTACCACCTACGTATTTACACTTTATAAATAGTTAATTCATTTTATAATGTTAGTGCTCGGGGTTTCATGAATATAATATAGGTAGGTAGCCTATATATAATATCATGGCTATTTTGGCGTAAGGAATCTTAGGTTAATAAAATCTATAGGACTTAGACTAAATAGGCACCATAATAGGTCATTAAAATGAAGCATTTTTTACAAAGATAATAGTAGTTGGATTTAAATGTTGTTTATAATAATATGTTGTCTGTGGTTTATATCTGAGAAGAATAAAATTGCATTATAGGTAGTAGGTACCTATGTAATACGTTTACCTACGTGTGAGCTTTTAATGATTATACTTAAAAACGCATCGAATGATCTGTGTGGCTATTTTTTTTTATTTATAAAATATCTCCGACACAAACAATATACTCGTAACTCGTCATAAAAATATTTCGTTCTCAATTTTCCGCAGTTTAGCTTTGATAGTGGTTTGGGATGCTTAAGAACCTCGGAAGCCACTATTAGCTGGAAGGCAATATGTATAATAACCTGAAGTCCCGATCCTGAACAACTAATAATAATATTATGATATTTATAACGTTGGGTAGGTACTAACTACTAACGGCGGGTACCAAGGCGCAAGATGGATATGGATTAATCAATCCACCTTGACGGGTACCGAAGTACAATACTATAGTCTATATTCTGTTCGCCGTAAAGCAAGTAAACTACTTTTTTTTTTTGCTCAAGCAGAGTATGGTAAAAACTTCTTGACAATATAGTTCACTACGTACAGGTACACCGCTTGGTGTTTCACGACATGAAACTGTGGAACTACAGTTCACTGTATTGTCATTTGTCACAACGTTTTCACAACACTCTGCGTTAGGGCAAAAAACAAAAAGTGGGCAAACTTACGGGGAATAGAGTTAAATATTATATTGTGATATACTATCGTAATCCTGCGCCAGGGCCTTATCACCAGCTGCAGGCAGCACTGGCTAGTGGCTTGCCCCGGTGTCCGACAACAAGATAATAATAATAATAATATTATGTTTTTATTATTGTTATTATTATTGTCGTTGTAAACTGTATTAATACTGTAATGTTGTTGTTGTTGTTGCGGGGACTCGCACAATGCACAAAACAATAACGGCTGTACTCGGTAGTCGGTACACCGATTTCAGTATTAATTTACGGACTCGAACTGCACTCGACAATGATAAAGCCAATGCCGCAAGCGGCACCGGTTGGCGAATACTAATTGGTAATTAGCGAACACGTCTTATCGGCTATAAGTTATCGCACAACCGAACGTCGCTCGAGTGTTTTTGAAAGTCGTAGGTAGTCATTGAGACGAGCAACGTCAAAACTGTTCGGAGCGCTCTTTGTTACACCGCGGCCCTCCCACGTTATTTGAAACACTAGTCCAATATTAATTATTGGAGTCATAATCTATAGTCGTCGCCGGTGATCGCTGTCCGTAAAATATAACAGTACCTAATTAATATCGATGGTAAGATGTTTAGCGTGGCGGCCGTTCAAAGTGCTTTCCAAGAATCTCTGGTTCAGGACGATGACGTGGATGTGAAGAACTACGTGTTGGCCTATCAAGAACTTTGCAAGTAATAATTATTCACCGAGCTCCATATTAACATACAAAACATCGTTGACGATACGTTTAAACGGCACGTCACGTACTCATAATATATTATTATTGTCATTTGCCCTTACAGATTCTGTTCGCAGCTGGGAGGCTTGTTTGGTTTTGTCGTCAGCGATCTCGAGAATAAGATCGGACTCCTCAACCAGCTGGTGACCGAAGACGAGCTACATTTTTCCACCGCCCAGAATATGATAATCCACGAGACTTCCAATGATTTGGTGTTCTCTGGTCGTTCTGGCTCCATAACATTGTTGAGATTGAATCGCGGTCTTGGTAAAATATAAAAGTGACGTTCTATAGACGTGTCTTGAGTGCTTAACTCGTGATTATTATTTACACTTGTGTCAATATGTTTATTTCAGAATTCATTATTCTATTCATGTCTAAACTGGTTTACCTACAACCTAATGATAGCACGAGACACTGTGCTCAAGAAGCTTATAGCGAAACATTGGCCAAACACCACTCTTGGATTATAAGGCACGGTGCTCTGTTTGCCATGAATTTCCTTCCCTGTCAAAAAGATTTGTATAATCAGGTAGGTATGAGAAATTATTTCTTGGAATTTTGTGTATCATCTTTCATTGTCACGTTGAAACAAAATAGTTATAATATTATAAACTAAAATATTACATTTGAAGCGAATTAAGCTAAAGCACACCATTTGAGATTTGAAATTTAAAATTTAAAGTATGTCGGTGGGTATTCTTTTAGTTGTATAAATTGGATAAATTATAATTCATTTGTCGGAAAAAATGTGCTTATTTTCCATTTGTAATGCGCTCAAAAACGCTGATAATGTACAGCTTAAGATGTTGTGTATGTGCCTACTAAACACAGGCATCATACACTACTGAAGTTTGTACTGGTGGGTTATGACCCCTCATCGGTCTGGCTTAGATATTATTTCTACACATACATTTGTACAAGCAGCCAGAACACATATAATTCTGTAGAACATGCTTACCTATTTTTTATTTATACATTTATTCACTTAACTATGTTTACTTCCTTATAAAAAAGTAGCTAACATCATTGTGTATAGTAAAAAATAATAATAATTGTATTCAAATTTAAATTTTTTTTCTACCCAAAATAAAACATTTTACTATAGGTATAGGTTTTTAAAAATGTTAAATTTCTATAAATTGCACAAATAGAGCCAAAATATTTTTAAAATTATACCAATATATTCTAGTAAATGCTCTTATGAAAATTTCTGATCTAGATACATTTATTTTTATTTAAATTAGGTACTATAAATAAAAAAAAACCGTACAATTTGGTCAAAACTAGTTTTGCGTAAAAAATTCCCATTTATCTCTAAATTATTTTAATTTTTTTGAAAAATAGTAAACATTTTAAATGTTAACCTCCCTAAAGTACTAATTTAATCCAATTTCTACCAGAAATCACCCTCAAAGTTGAGGAATAAAGCATTTTTCTATTATAAGTATTAAGAACTCATACAAAAAAAAGCACATCATTATAATATCCAAGGCTGAGCAAGTTAATGTTTATTTTTTAACTGAGTTAAGTTAAGTTAATATGTACCAAAAACAAAAAGTTAAAAGTTAATTTAACTATAGATAAACTCAGTTAGATTAAAAGTTAATACACACTTTTTGTTAACTTTTTATTAAGTAAAAAAAAGTTAATTTGTTTATACCACAGTAGTATAGTTAATTTTTTTCCAACCCAAAACTAAATTATAGGCTATAGTGTTTATACTTTATACAGTATTTCTGTATAAGTTATATTCTAATGAAATAATTTTTTAACTTTAAACAATTCACGGTAAATATTTTTTTATATGAAAACAAAATCGACTGAAATAATGAAATATAATAAAATTAAACACATATAAATTAACTTAACTTATTTCTTAAAATGAAAAAATAATTTGTTAATTTCACATTAATTAAAAAAGAAATTTAGTAAGTTAACAGTTAAGTTAAAGAAAAGCCAAAAGTAACTAGTTAAGTTTAAAAGGTAAAATAAAATCTTTTTAACTTGACTTTTTACTTGATTTTAACTCGTTAATGCCCAGCCTTGATAATATCTATACATTTATTAACCGTTCCACTCAGAATCTAAAATTGAATTGAATAGTCAGTAAAGTACAATAATTTAAAACTTTAATCAAATAATGTGTTATAATATATTTTATTTTTTATTTAGACTCTTGGCAATGCTCCTGTAGAAGAAACATTGGATAAAATGCCTGAAATGATTTCCAACGCTTCTATGGTTCATGAAAGGGTGAATAATCTACTTTCAGGCTATGAAATTCTGAATATACCGTGAAAACTTTCAAATTGACTGTACACTGAAGTATTAAGTCACTTAGTACTATGTTAATTTTATATAGCATAGACTTTCTATGATCTACATCGAAGAAAAGTATACACAGTGATAATTTCCATTTTTTGCTAATTATCTGAAAACATTTTAGTGGATATGATTGTGTTCTAATTCCTTGGTCATTATGGAATCATTTAAGCTTTACATATCTATAATTTACTAATATTTTTTATTAAAGCGATTTGTATATTATACCTGAAGTACCCTAGTTAGAAATGTGAAGTGATTTGTCAATTTCTTTTGAAATTATTCTCATCACAAACAATTTATCAAATTATTAAAATAATCTTAGTATGCCAATATTTTCAACATAATTATGAAATAAAAATTTTTATGTCTTAAGTTTCCATAAAAATAAAAGTAAAGTAGTAAGACACTTGTAAATGGTCATGATAAAATGATAAATATGAAATGTGAAGTGATTGGTCAATTTCTTTTGAAATTATTCTCATCACAAGCAATTTATCAAACTATTAAAATAATGTTAGTATGTCAATATTTTCAACATAATTATGAAATAAAAATTTTTATGTCTTAAGTTTCCATAAAAAAAAAAGTAAAGTTGTAAGACACTTGTAAATGGTCATGATAGAAAGCTTAAATAATTCTATAATGACAAAAGAACAAAATATAAAAAATGATCTTAGAATTACCATTCAGCATTCTACATAACATATATTAAATTATGTTATTAATATTTTGCTCAATCATTTAAAAAAAAAATCAGATTAATATTAATATTAATAATTGTAGGAATACATTAAGTTTTAAATTTGTTTAATTGATATTTAGTTTAACAATTAATAAATCTTCATGAGACCATATTGGCATATTATATTGTATGTTCATCGATTTTTCATCTCTAATAATTTAAGTGCCATATAAAATAAAAGTTTGCATTTTTCTTAAAATTATATCAAGCGTACTTGATTGGATTTTTAGTTAGATGTTGTTAATGAATACTAATAATAGTTAATAAATAATAATTTTAATATTTTAGTTTCCATTATTATATTTTATAGCTCAACGTTACATTTATTTAAATATTTAGTTATCTAAGAATTGGAGCATAAACTCTTAAAATGTATTTTATGGTCCTATACATTGTCATATTTATGTTATATTTTCTCAATTATTTTATATCTATTTTAGTTATTTTAGTTATATTTATATTTATTTACATGTTATTTCATAATAAATTTATAATGTAAAATGTAAATGTTTCCCTTATTTCATAATCAATGAGCGGTGGTGCATATTCGTTTTCTATCAAAGCTGCCGGGCTCTATCTATATCTTAACATGTTTACTGATATAATAATAGGTATAATTCCTTTTCCTGCTCTTCATATTATTATTTTCATTATATTGAGCGGCTCGTGACTTATTGATGGCCACCCCTGTAATATTATTAAAAAAAAATATAAAATTGCATAAACTAATACATTTTTAACATCTCCCTGTTCATGTTTTGTCATTTTATTTTTAAGATCTTCAGTAGTTTTTTCAAACACTTACGATACAATAAAAAATAGGTATGTTAATACTGGGAATATGCGATAGTAAAATCATAATTAAATTTGTAATATTTTTTATCTTTGTTAAAAAATCTAAAACAATGTTCCTAACCAAAAAATACAAATAAATTTGAATGTAACTATTAAAGAAATTGAGATTAATATTTCTACAGTATTTGATAAAATTATGTTATATTATATAATTATATCTTATTTTTATCATAAGCCTACAGAGAAAAATAGGTACTTGTTTGTTACTCCATAACCTCACAGCTAAATTTCTCAATATTATGTTGTAAAAATAATGGCAAAAGTACTTAATTTTATTAAAAAAATGGTATACAATAATTGAAAAAAAAAAGAATTGTAATGTATAAGTATTTAATTATAATGGGGTCCAAAATTTTCGGATACATCTTTTAATATAATTTCAAATGTGTCTTGCCCATTAAATTATGTTTTCCGCATAAATTCCACCAAATACAAATCTAGAAAATATCTATTGGTTCCGTGATGCTTCAACGGCCCATTTACCAGGACCCCACAAAATTATTAGTGAGGTTAAGGCGACCAGTGCCAATGTAATTTTACATAGTTACGATAACTGCACACTTGTTGTCGACCTATGATCATTCTCAACGATTCGACGGCAATGACGAACAAGCTTTTTCTTAACGATGTAATTCATATACCAGTAATAGAATACTATATAATGATACCTGGGCCCAGAAATAATCGTGACTGAAGTCGTAAACGTAAGAGATAATCAGTTAAGTTGGTGCTGTGTGAAACGTTATTTTGCAGCTTACACTTAAAACATTATGTTAGCCTATCATTTCAATGTAATTATTCAATCAGAGGAAAATACCATAGCTTTTTAAAGGAAAAAGGACTTACTGAAATTATGGCAGAAGACTTACTGGTCCATGGGTGTTTGGAATGTGTAAAAAAGACGAAAATGGTGTTATCGAGGCAAGATACTTTGGTTGTAGAAAAAAAGAGACAAACAGACATTGCACGGAATAATTCAAATTGAAATTGGTACAGAAATACACTCAGATGAATGGCTTGCATACAGGGGTGGACTGAGTTAATATTTCAGGCCGGGAATTTTTTTTTGCCAGGCCAAAAATTAATAGGGGACCAACGATTTTGTCATAAGTGTGCAAAAAAAAAAATAATAATAATGGTAAAAAACCTTTATATTTAAAAAATATTTTCAAAATTTTATGTAAGATATATGAAACTACACATAATATATAAGATATTTTTTTATAGATACAGTGTATACAATTTAATATAATACCTATGTATATTAAAATTAACTCTTAAAGTAATTCCTTTTTTTACATAATTAGTTTTTTTTTTCATAACTTCACTAGTTTTCCCAATTCTGTCGATTAAAATATTGTCATCTATAGATACTAATGTTCGCTTTTCCATGGACATCAACATAAACGCTTCCAAATGCTCATTAGTTAGAGTATTTCGTAATCGATTTTTTATGAATTTTAGAGTTGAAAATGACCTCTCACATGCTACTTGTGTTACCGGTAGAGTTAAAAGATAATTATAACTTATAAGCCAAAGATAAATTTGTATACGCATTACTATTCAAATTTATTGTATTTTACTAATAATTTTAAACAGCAACAAACACAATTTTTGCATGTTTTACAGGTCATATTTAATCCGGCAGTTTCTTCAGCTTCTTGATATTCATCTTCTGAATCAAAATTTTCAAAATCATATTCGTCTTCAACTGATTTTTTTAAGTTATCCCAATTATTACCAAAACTTAGTAATTCTTCTCTTAATTTTTGATGGAATTCTTCCAAATCATCATTGACTGTAAATCAGATTAAATTTTTAGAGAGAACTTTCAAGGCTGTTTTTGGTAAACCATGTTTAAAACTATTGAAGTTGACTGGGGATAGAAGCGATAAATCCATGTATAATGGACTATACTAGCTGATATGGTAATACCTACCATATGCATTATGTTTATTCGTATACTATATTTTTAATTTCTAAAATATTATCAGGCCATTTAATCTATTATTGTACCAGGCCACCGGGATTTGTCCCGGTGTCCCGCCAGGCCAGTTCGCCCCTGCTTGCATATAAGCCATTAGAAACTAAAGGGTACATACATAAAACCGTAAACCATTTAAAATTTTTTGTCAATCCCGTCAGTGGTGCCAAAGCATAAAAAGTTTATGGGGAGGTTTAAAATTTTGAATTGTAAAAAAAAGTGCATGGTACACCAGTACACCACTATCATTGCTGCCCTCATATTTAAATAACATTAACGATGATAGTATTTTTTGATTTTTATACAAATGGACACATTAAAATATTAATATATTATATTTGTTATGATACAAAAAAAATTATTAACAAAAGTTCCTAAATTTTACAAACATTTTGGTGCAAAAAATTCTATTCCTATTGCTGTACACCTTAATATGTAGGATTCTCAAAATCAATATACTTGATTTTCATACATTAAGGATAGTTTTAAGACTCTACCACAAGCTTTTAGTTTATTGGAGGGTTGAAAATATATATACATATATTCGTATTATTTAAATATCTTTAATTTTGTTTTTATTGTAATCGGTATATTAAATACTGTAAGATATTATGTTATATGTACAAAAAGAAATTATTATTATTATACTTGTTATGATACATTATTTTTGTACCTACTTATCCTAATTTAGGATTAGATTGTGACATGTATTGTTTTGTTTAACTACTATACATATTGTGTATAATTAAATAAAATATGCTATAGTAATAATTCTACTATAATTTAATTATGTATAAAAATTATGTTATAGACCGCCTATAACATATAGAAACATGTGTAGTAGACTGCATATGACAAGAATACCCTATTGTCAAATATGTGTCTATGTGTATCGAACTTAATAAAATCATTTTAAATACCAACCCACCAAGTACTTCTTAAGGGGAAAAGCATGTATATCAGTCGTCGGTCCTTGAGATATAGGATAGCCACCACTGAGTTCCATAATAGTGTTAACATAATATAAAATTATGATTATAAAACAATTTTGTATTTGAATATAGATAAAACAACATAGAACAATAACATACCATCACAAGTTATGACAAATAGGTACTTTATGTAATACTAATTTCAAATTTGTTTCATTCCCTATGAGTGTACCTTTGAATTGCATACAATTTTATTACAGAAATAATACAATGCATTTTTTTTTATACAAAAACCAATAAATTATAATATTATATTGTAATCAGTCAATATTATATTATTTTACATTTAATGCAACATTAAGTTTCTAATTATTTATTCGAGGTTTTGCTTTTCACCATATCCCTAAACTGAGTAAGAATTTTATTTTCTCTCTTCTGTCGTTCTTCTTTACTGAACATAGCCAATGCCCGTTTTTCATCAGCAGAATAAATTTGATTTTCTTTACGAATACGCACAGCTTCCATGCGTCTATGCCGACTTCCGCTCATCACATACCCGACTGACTCGTAAGATGATATTTCATCACATGTCAAACCAATTTCACCACGCCGAGGAATACGTTTACCATCTTGTACATAGGCTGCCATAGCTGCACCTTCACCGGGCAATAGAGCGTGACCATACTCTCTTTGAGTTAAAGTGACATTAGGTTTTGGTAATGGTCCTACCATGTCATCCACGGTAGCTTCTTTGGCACCTAATACATAAATAATTAATTAATTTTAGAAAAATATTATTTAAAAAAAAAATGCGCTTATTTACCTTTTTTCTCAATCCATTCTTCATCTTCACTACTGGAATCACTTGAACTATCTGAAGATACTTTCCTCTTCTTTTTTTTCTTATGTGATTCTTTGTGCTTTTTTACTTTTTTGGACTTTTTTGATTTCTAAAGAAAATTTAAATTTAAATTTAAACAAATAAAACAAATGCCACAACTTTTAAAAATATTACCTTTGATTTATCTTTTTGTTTCTTTCTCTTCTTGTGAGATTTAATTGGAGCGATTGCAAGATTATTTTGATTTAAAATGTTTTCGTCATCTGTATCTAAACTGTTTTGAACAAAGTGCAAAGTGACAACTATTATTATTATTATTATTATTATTATTATTTATTGTTATGATCCTAGAAAATAATTACATTGAAAAAATTGGAATTAATGAAATTTGTGATACTTTTTTAATGTATTACGAACTGGCAAACTATATTCATGTCATAAAGATTGGTATTATAAATTATTTATGGTTAGGCAAAACCAATAGGAAATTTGTTAAAATATTTTCTTTTGTTGAGCATGCTACCTACAATGATTTGCCAGTCATTTCTACTCAACAAATACAAATTATAAAAACTTTTGTTTTAAATAATATGGGTACATGGATTTTTTTAATTAAATTAAATTTGTATAAAATCAAATTTAAGTATAACATTATACATAATGTAGTTTAGTGTTATTTTTAAAATATTCAAATTTTCCAAAAATTTTTTTAATTAAATTAAATTTGTATAAAATCAAATTTAAGTATAACATTATACATAATGTAGTCTAGTGTTATTTTTAAAATATTCAAATTTTCCAAAAGATGTTGTTCAATTGCTCATTTTAACTTTGCTTCGAATTTAAAATTAAGAAAAAAACAAGACAACAAATTAATTTTCCAAATATAAATTTAAATAAAAACAAAATTAACTCCAGTATGAAAATCCAAAAAACAATATACAAACTGTCAATAGTTGAATTACTATTGATTACCGTGTTGTGTCAGTCAATCGACAAAAAGAGATAACAAAAACATGTTGAATGCCCGAAGACATTATCTTATTGACTGTGATCAGATGATCAACACATCTTATTAGGATTGTTTTTATACTAGACGGAAAGAAATGTAAATTAATGTTCAAATAATAAACTTCGAGCTACAGAATAAATTCAAACTAATAGAACCATTACTATGTATTTATTTTGAAAACTTATAACTAAGAACACAACTTTCATGTAAGTTACTAAATATTTAATAGTTAATAGGTATGTTTAATTATATTTTGTACAAGTTATATTATAGAATATGTAAAAAAAAAATTATTATGTATTACTTGTTAATAGGTTGTGGAGGTGATTTTTCCCAAATTTCTGGTACACCAACTAACCCTATGTTCTCACGTTCTTTCCGTCGTCTATCGTTATAATTATTTGAATTATTTGACATCTTCGAAAGACAAAAGTTACAACTAGGATATGATCTTTTCAATTTTTCAGTATAATACTATAATGTAAAAATTGACAATGTTGTTGTTTGCTTGTCAATTTGTTATCACTTAACAGTTCATAATCATAATCACGGACTACACAGATATAGATAATAAACTAGATAACTAACCAAGGTTTAAAATATTATACAATATTATACCATAGAATTGGTTCTACGAATTTCTACGTTTTCAACGTTTCATTGTTTCAAACGTTGGCGTTCGTACTTCGTACTGCAAAGCGTTCTATTCGTTCTGCGTTTCCTCATAATTTCTTGAATTCGTGGTTGTACTCTATCCAACCTAAACCATAATATTGTGACGACGCACATAAAAGTGAAACACCACGCGCTGTACACACTTTACACTTTAAACTTTACACTTTACACCACGATTTATTTTAAATCGTGATCTATACCTAAATACCTTACTCGTAGACCGTAGTCATAGATAAGACATAAGTATAATATTATAATCTTGAGAAAAACATGGCCCGTCGCCACGGGCCAACACTAGTCAGTAGTCACTACTAATACAGATAATTTTACTAATTGTTGTTATGTTATGTCTCTTGTGAAATAATTAACGTTGGTACGAATTATTGGAGATTGTATGTCATATAGCACCAGCAGTAAGTATCTTGTAAGTTGTAATAAATGTATCTCACATCAATAGCTTATTGTTGGTAAATCTTAATTGAATATCGTCATATTGAACTCAATGTTTTCTATGTTATATGGAGGAATTTAAGTGGATTTCGGGGGGGGGGGGTTCTCATCTTAAAGTATGTAGGTACCAAAAATAAAATAAATCAGAAATCAAATAAATAAACAGGGTTAAATTCAAATAAGTTAATTTTAATTTAACATAACTTACTAGTTTGCTGTTTTAATTATCTTAACTTTGCCACTAGGTACATTAACTTAAAAATATCAACTCTTTTTATTTATTTATATTTTCCCAATTAAGTTAATTTTGAATTTTTATATTATCCAGAATAATATTTAGTTAATATAAGTTATATATAAAAAATAATAATGAACTTAACTGAGTTAAAATATAGGAAAAATAACCCTGTATATAATTATCCCCCCCCCCCTTACTTTTTTAAAAAGTAGAATCATAGTGGATATTTTTTATTGACTTTTCAGCAATAAGATCACGTGGTGGATTCTGTGACAACCCTACAGAGTACAGCTAGTCAATTTGAAGCCGCATATAAACGATTATTAATACACAATGAAATAGTTACATCTTCCCAGGCAAATTGCATATCTCAAGACACAACCGAAATACTATCAACCACCAGTGCTTCCAAGAAAAAAATTCTGTATCAAATTCTTTGGACCTTATTTGTTCAGCTGGGACGGATGAAGATGAAACCATGTCAATGTTTCTGGCCTTGCAAAGGTCTCCGCATTCTTCATATTTAATGGACGTAACTCAGTACATAAGTGGAACTGTAACAAAAAAATTAATAAAAATAATTAATTGTCCAGAATATGTGAAGGTTTTGTCTGAAACAAATTCTACTCCGATGCCTTTTATAGACATAAAAACAAGAGGAAAACTTATTAAACCAACTAATGACGTGACTGAGCTTTGTCGAATTGCAGAAAATGTATTCCGAACTCAACCATCCATATGTAACGAATATAAGAGAGACATTTATAATGAAATCATTTTCGAAGATCAATATCAATAAATACTTTTTAAATTTATCTGAACATATATATAATCAAGATCCAATGAATAATCATTTAATACAAATTATAAAAGAAATTTTCAAAACTTATTTCAATATAAGAATTCATTATTTCAACCAATCAAGTAGTCAGCCTAGAGACAGAATACGGTCACATTTAACAAAACTTGTACATTTCAGACATCAATAATATATACGTTTACTTAGTTATAATAATTTAAGTCATTGATTAATTGCTTTAAATGTTTTCTTAATAAAATATATTTTCCTTTTGTTAAAAGTTGGTGATTCTGATTTAATAGCTATGTTTCATCGGTTGTAGGAAAAAAAAACCAAGGAAAAAAAAACCACGAAAAAAAAAACCAAAAAATAAAAACCAAAACAAAAAAAACCAAATGAAAAAAAGACTATGGAAAAAAAAACAAAATGAAAAAAAATCCATGAAATTAAAAACCAAATTTTATTTTTTTCTGTCATATTTTTGGTACCTATTATTATAGAAAATTTTAAATAAATATATTGTCAGTAGAATAAAATACAATATAAAAGTTATGGATACCTCATTGTATAATAGAGAACACGCATTAATAAGTTACCTAATTAATAAATTACATAAAAAATTACAAAAAAATATCTCATCCTTGCTTTAGTGTAGACATCTAATTGTGATACCGCTTCAGCATACATCTGCGACGGATTAGCTCCAGAACACTTAGCATTCTGTTTAATTTTGTTTATGGCTTTTCCAATCTCGATTTTTGATTGTTCAGCAGAGTGCTGATGTTGAACTTTGAGAATGGGGTCTGTTTTATTTATTGAGGTGTGGAGAATAGCTGGACAGTTTAGAGAACTCTTTTTATTACATCTCCATGTGTAATAATTTTTTCCTGCGTGCTTCATTACGTACATATAGCCATTGAGCGCTAATTTGTCTTTGCCTTTATTTGATTCTATTATTTCCATAATTAATCACAAAAACTTTAATGCTTTAAAACCGATGTTTTCTAGACGTCTACACTGTGTCACAACTAAATAGGTAGATGGTCAACTAAATAATAACTATAGCCACTACTCACTAGGTAATACCTATATTATTATTAACTATAACAAAATGATGCATGTGTGCCTGTATTATCTAGAGTCTAGACAGTTATCTAGACATTATCTAGACAGTCTAAATAAGTCCGATTTTGTATCAAAAACCTATATGATGTATACAATATAATGTAATGAATAAATGAACAACATAAGCTGTAGGTGCCTTTTAGATTCTGAGTGAAACGATGAATGTATTGATTTTACAATGATGTGTGTTTTTTTTTTTATTTTGTGTCTGTCATCACGTTTTAGGACAGTAAAAATGCTTGGATTTTCTTCATCAGTAGCTTTTCTGATAGGAAAGTGAATCTAGTTGGTACTTTGGGGGGTCAAAAGTATAAATTTCACAGTAGTTTTCACAAGCGCCGGGAAAAACAACATAAAAATTAAGGAAAAACGGGAATTTTTACGCAAAATTGGTTTTCCAAAAAATCGATTTTGGTTATTGGTGTAATTCTAAAACAAATGAACGTATATACATGAAATTTTCACTGGTTGTTTATATTTGCATTTTCTATACACGATAACATTTTCAAAATATTTTGAACTGTTTAGGGACATTTTCATTTTCCATTTTTTTTTTAGTTTTTTTTCTAAAAATAGCAATAAAATTTTATTTGTTGGTTGCGAAAGCTTGAAAATTTAATAGAAGGCTCCTAATATGTTGTTTCAAAGGCAGATGAAAAATATTAAAAATCCTTAGTCACAATTTTTTTTTATAAGCATTTAAAGTTCAAAAATTGACAAAATATGGAAAAATCACGAAAATTAGCAAATTATTTTGAGTTAAGAATTCGTAAAAATTTTTCTTTTTAAATCTAAGATTTGAAAATGAAACACAAGATTCCTTATAAGATTATTTACCTTTATCAATAAAAAAATCTCTACCGGACAGTCAAATTAAATTTTTATGAGCGTTTGAAATTCAAATTTTTACAACATTGGATTTTCACTTGATTACTCATGTAGCGATTTCCTTATTTTGTTGCAATTCAAAAACGAACAACTGTAGATAAATGAAAATTTCACTGAATGTTTAAATTAGCATTTTCTATACACCATACAATTTTGAAAATATTTTGACTCTTTTTGAGCTGTTTATGGACATTTACAGCTTTCAATTTTTTTTAGTTTTTTTTTCTATAAATATCAATTAAGTTTTATCTGTTGGGCCAAAAAGTGTAAAAATTTAATACAAGGCTCCTGATATAATGTTACAATAGCAGTTGAAAAATATTAAAAATACATAGGCACAGTTTTTTTTTATAACCATTTAAAGATCAAATTTTGACAAAATTTATCAAAATCTCGAAAATTATCAATCATTGTAATTAATAAATTATAAAATGTTCAGTTTTTATAGCTAAGGATTACAAATTCAACACAAAGGTTCTCATAAATAGTTCATACTATAACCAAAAAATCTAAAAAATATATGAACACACTTATTTTTTACAGACATTTTAAATTCAAATTTGGACGAAATTACATATTAAAAAACCTAGAATAACTATTTTAGTTATTTTGTTGTGATTGAATAATATTATTCGTGGGTACTTGAAACTTCTAAAGTGTACTATTATATATCTATGATAGTATCACGGTTTTTGTTGATGTATGACGCGTTATAAGTATCTAATGGATATTGTGATATGGTTAATTTGGAATTTATTATAGGTACCTATTATAGGTCAATTTTTTGTTTAATACCATAGATATGTATATAATATGTCTTATACATAGACTGACATACCGTCACCGCTCAGAATCGTTTTTCTTATACAATGATATTATATCATTGAATTCAAATTTAATACCATCCATTATACAGTGACCCACTTGTAACCTACTGTACAGCAGAGCGACACCCACTTTCCCACCTTTTTTATCTTAATGGTATCTTTAATAATATAAAATATAATCTTTATATGGTTAAATACTTGTGCATTTTATACACACTCATATAGGTACATACCCACACCCCAACAATACTTTCCTAAAACATAGTACCTATACAATTATTTACAGTTTATACTTATACTCTATTCTACTGACAAAATATTTATTTGTAATTTTCTGATTTATTAACTAACTCATTAATTTTTGTTCTTTATTATACAACAGACAGAATACCTAAAATATGATAGCAAAATATGAAATTTGGTTTTTTTTTTCCGTGGACTTTTTTTCATTTGGTTTTTTATGTTTTGGTTTTTTTTTTTCGTGGTTTTTTTTTCCTTGGTTTTTTTTTCCGCACGCCGTTTCATCAATTCTCCTTTGTACTATGTTATAGTTCAGAGGTTTTTTACAATAATATTAATTAAAATGGATTCTATTTTTGTAATGTTATTGTTTACCAACGAAAATGTGTTCATCGAATCATAATTGTAAGAGTGACTTTGATAACGGATATATTAGGCGTGTTTTGGCGGAGTAAACTGTTTAGTAAATAAGTTTATGGTTATAGAGTACGGTTAGAAAACGTTTACTGGAACGCCAAAACAATTGCTTGAACATTTTGTTAATTTGTTTACTGAAATATTTGATAACATTTGATATCATAAACTTTTTAGTAACGGTTAGGTATGGAAGGAAGGCATGGCAAATTTAAATTTGTGAATACCATAATTTAATATTGCAGTATTAGTCAATACAAATTCCAAATTAATAATTATCAACAATGCTGCTTTTACCATCACAATTAATATTAATTATTAATACAAATACATACAATACCGACCGTTTTTAGGTTTAAAGGAGTTCAATACAGGCAATTGTCCATGTGGTCAATGAATTAATTGTGTAAATGTTTGCGTAGTAAGTGATCATTAGTGATTTGAGTGACTGTGTATACCTAAAGTAAAATATAGTGTAACGCTCTCGCACGTTCAGTGAAACACTGAAACTTGGCTTCGTATTTCGGATAATAGAGCTTACTGAGTGACATTTTAGTATGAGTTATGAACATGTATTATAAAAATTGAAGAGGAGAAATGTATCCAGTGGCGTGTATCATAAAAAAAATTGGTGTTGCTCAAATAATTTTAGTAGACCTACCCCTCATAATACTGTAATACCGGCCTATAAAATAACCTAACCTAGCCTAACCTATTTTTTCATCTATAAACACCCACCCACCCTTATTTAAGGTGTTGCCCGAGCAACACTTAGACGCTATGTTACACGCCACTGAATGTATCTACTGCAAACGTTAAAAGTTATAACAATAATATTATGTTATACCTATTATAATAATGTTATGATTATAAAAATAATTTATTTTTAAAACGAAGGCGGTAGATGGCGCTACTGTTATCAAAACGCGTAGATCGAGTATTGTTTTAATACAATATATTATTTGTATAATATTATATTATTGTATACGGCTGAGCAGTAGAGTCTTTACCGTAGAAGTTTAAAACAATAGCTATACCTAAATCATCTAGTTGGCACATTGTTAGGGGGTCAAAAGTATAAAAGAGGGTAAGTGGATGTCGCTCTGCTGTACAGTAGGTTATAAGTGGGTCACTGTAGTCTGTAATGGATGGTGTTCACGGATTAGTTTGTATTCAATGACATAATATCATTGTAAAAGAAAAACGATTCTGAGTGAAGATGGTCTGTTATTGCTGTATATATTGATATATCTGTATGCTCTATATTACTAAGTAGGAATATTTTATGATATTATTATTATTTGTGATTAAAGTAATTTTTTTTATTATGAAGCATAAGTACTACAGTAGGTTAAATTCCATTTTACCAAAAAATTGCATTTGAAAAGGTCTTTGTGTGTATAAAATATAATAATAATATACCTACTCTAAAAGTTTTATACAATATCTACGGTTAACACTTTTAAATTACAACAAAAAAATCAAAATCGTTATTCTTGGTTTAAATATGTAATTTTGTGCAAATTTGAATTTAAAATGTCTGTAAAAAATAACTTACTGTGTTTATATATTTTTTGAAGACATTATGAACTATTTATGAAAATCGTTGTTTTAAATACTCAACCTTAGCTATAAAAATTAAAAATTGAACATTTTATAATTTTTAATTACAATAATTGATCATTTTTCAGTTTTTGATACATTTTGTACTTAGGTATAGTACCTAATATACTTATACTTTATACTTATAAAAAAAAATCTTTGATATGTATGTTTAATATTTTTCAGTTGCGATTGAAATAATATATCAGGAACCTTGTATATTACATTTTCAAGCTTTTTGACCCAAGGAATAAAATTGCATTGACATTTATAGAAAAAAAATAAAGAATTGAAAATGTCTGTAAACAGATCAAAATGAGTCCAAATATTTTGAATATTTTATCAAGTATAGGAATTGATAAAATAAACATATGGTGTACATTTAATGTAATAAATTCCAGTTATTCGTTTTTGTATTACAATAAAATAAGAAAATCGCCACCTACATGAGAAATCGAGTGAATATTCAATACCAACGTTGTAAAAATGTGTGCTTCAAACGCTCATTAAAATTTAATTTGACTTTCTGGTAATAATTTTTTCGGCAAAAATGAATTTAACCATTTTAACCTATACCTAATGCTTAATAGTAAAATAAATTACTTTAATAGTTTAATCACAATAATATCACCAAATATTTTACTTAGTATAGGTACCTAACATTATAGGCAGACAGACTGTCTTCATTCATAATCATTTTTCGTATACAATGATTGTAATTTATATAGATGAGAGAAAAAATTATCAATAATTATAAAATATTTGTAATTTATTAATTTAAATTTACCGACGAGTATCTAAGCATAAATAGTAAATAATAATACCTATAGTTAGTAGTAACTAGTTACCTATTAAAATACAAGTCGTTGCGTAAATTGAGTTCGAAAACAATTCTGAGTAAATTTGGGCATGCTTTAAAATAGTTTCTTGTTACTTGGTGCTTCTGCCCGCCATTTCCATCAAAATAACCTTCAAAGTTTCATCAATAACAAAAAAAAAAAAAACTCGAACTAAACAATAAAATATTATCTTGTCCATTTATTTAGTATAAAATAAAATACAAAATTCTCGTGCAAATATAATGAGACTTGAGTTTATTTTAATGTCTTTAAAAATGCCAATCACACTTTACAGCATACCTTTAATAGTTACTATAGTATGAATAGTTAACGAGATAAGACGTCGTATAATTATGTTTACCTGTACCTATGAAATATAATACGAAAATGTGAAAAGCGTGATAATAAAATATAATTATACGATTTAGTGAAAACGGTAAAAAAAATATAAAAATAATCAACTGAAAATAGTTGTCCACAGACACTCAAAAATAGTAATAATATTAAAATACTTTCATCAGAGAATCAGACAATTGCTCTTGCTTTCGTGCTGCCGTGCCCGTGCTAGCCTAGAGTACGCCTGCTCTTGACGGCGCGCCTGCAGATCCTGCTCTTGACGGCGCGCCTGCAGCTCCTGCTCTTGACGACGGACTTCCTGTTGAACCGCTAAACGACGACGCGCCTCCTGCCATTCCTGCACTCGCTGTCGCTCAGCCCACACCTGTTGCTGACGTTGTGCCTGCTCTCGCTCGCGCTGCGCTTTCAACTCTTGCTGCTGCTGCTGCACCTGCGCCAGGTTGTTTTGCTGCCATTTATTGCGGGGGTTATTACGGAAATATTTGCTTTCGTTGAAGTGTTCCGGTGTCCGTCGGTAGTACATAAGGTACAGCGGATAGAAGTCGTAGTCGTTGTATTTGACGTACACGCGACCGTTGGAGCTCAGGGTCGTGTCGGCACCGCCTGTCGGTACGATCAAATTCTCATTGCCAGACACCCGCTGCGTCTTGTTCACCAACACGGCACAGACGATGATCACCCGATTTTCTACGTCAGCCGGTCACGAGAACAGAAAAATAAAATAAAATGGATTATACTTAACTATACAATATATATTATGCTATTTATATATCAGTGGCATTATGATAGCGAACTTGGATTTTTTTAGAAGCTACTTTAATATTTTAAGTTGCAACACCAATAATTCGATGATAAAGGCATCTGTAGCACTGTCATATTTCAATATTTGTAACTATACCTGTAGTATAGTTATCACTAAAATAGTATAGTTAAAAATAAACTATCACCTAGGTATAGGATCTATTTCCCACCCAACAACCCTTTAGGTATAGCCTCTCAATTACCCTATTCACCAAGGTAGTATAACCACTATAGTCTATAACCTAGACTAAACGCAACTGAGATGATTTAATCTATATATATAGGTATATATAAAATTGAAGCTTGAAAATGTCGTTCTACCTCATCAATCGAGAACGGCTGGTCCGATTTGGCTCAAATGTTCTTTAAGATATACGTATATGCCAGGAGAAGGTTTTTATGAAAGAAAATTTTAGGAAAATTCACCGGAAAAGTAGGAAATCTGGATGTAAAAAATATAATAGTGTATTATAATATATTGGTTTCTATTGGTTAATCGGGCATGTTTGTTGATTTGTATTATTATTTTTGTCAATATATATATAAATAAATGTTTGTGTCTATATTAGACCTCTGGTCAGAAGACAGGCTAATTTAAAATGGTTAAATTTGGTTTTTGCCGGCCGAACGGTTTCCGACCGCCGGCCGAACGGGCGAAAATGGTGAGGGATGCGCAGCGACGGACGAAAAATCGAGTATTGTCTCTCCTGGAACAGAGTATAGTTTATTATATTATTACTAGTGTTATAACTTATATTATGTGCAAGTAGGTGATTCTTTTAAGTAGGATAAACACTAGAATTTTCTTTGTTATCGCCAGTCGTCACTAGGTACTCCCAATACCTACCGGCTACCACTAATACTTCATTAGAAAAATAAAACCCTATACTTTGTCAAAATGGTTAAGCTTAAGACGATATATAATTATATATAAATAAAAAATACTTTAAGGATTATAAGCTGGATCCGTATATAATTAATTATGGCATACTCGATACCTACTCGAATATCCTGTGCGGATGCCTATATAATATTTATTGCAATAAAATAACTCCACTATAGTGGTTTTTTTTTTTAACTCAGTGACTCGATTACCCGAAACTTACAATTAACATATTAACTTAAGTTTGTTAGTTATTTATTTATTATTTTTAAATTTATTAATAGCCAGTAATATGGATTAAAATAATAAAAATTAAATGTTTATGCAATATGAATCATCAAAGATAATTTTATTATATTTATTGTATTTTATAAATTATAAAAACTTGGATTTGATTAAAAGTAATTTATTTAGTTTATATAAATAAAATTCAGTAAAGTTAAAAATTAAATCAAAAAAAGCTAAGTTAAAAAGTTAAAATGAACTTAACTTTAACTTTTCAATTTCGATGTTTTTTTAGATGGGAGAGAAAGGGAATTTTGTTGACAAAAAACAAACATTAATAATAAACACTATCATAATACCTTCTCTGGGGGAATGGTCGGCATAATAGTTGGCATAGTCGGCGTCGTCGCTGAACGACACACCGCGCCCAAACTTGGAGCGCCTGGTGCGCCGCCAGTCAAGTCCGTTTTTCAACGACTCCAAAGCCCTGGACTTGGTGGTCACGTGATATAGAATAAGTTCCTTGTCACCATACCTCATTTCTTCTTTGCGCAGCAAGTACATACCATACATTTGCGGGGCATTGACAACGTGTATCAGATCGACGTTGCACTGAAATTTATATACGACATAAATTGTAGATAATATTATATATTAATTGTTGAGTAAATATAATATTATTATCATTGATTAAATAATAGAATTTTGTTAATTTTTGTAACTATTATAGCATATTTTAATATACTTTTTTTAAATGTATTATAAACACACAATTTTAATGATAGTGTTTATGATTTTAATAATTATTTTTTTTATATGTTAGGTTTTAACATGGACTCTGTTCATCTCCACACATACTTATCGGATAAGTTAAATTGTGACATACATATCTTAACGATATTTCATTGTTGTCACAATAACTTATTATTATCATTAGTTCTAAAAGATATGACTTTCCATTAAGAATTTTCACATTCAATGTGCACAAAAGCAGACATCTGCATTATTCTTTGTAATATGCTCGATGTACCTACACTGTTAATGTTTATGCCCTGGCACTCATTTATACATAGGCTTGATTAATAATTTGAATAAAAATATACCTATGAAATGTATCAAAACATTGGTTCCATAATATGAAAGGTAGTTATAATATAGTAATATGGGTATGTGATTAGAGAATATTATGTTTAAAAATTATACAAACGCCAAATAGCAAACTATATATAGTAGGTATATAACACTATTTACTATTACGAGTTCCGACACATAGTATATGGATAACATACTTAAAATAATGGATAGTAACTATTATACTTATACTCCAATATAACAAATCCTTTACATGTTATAAATAGATACTCATAAAATATTTAATATGACAGTGTTAGAAAATATTATATTGATTGTCATTGATCTTCAATAATCGATGACATTATCATTGGGTAATCTTACTAAATGTCGTGCAACTAACAATTAGTAGGTAGCCAATTAGAATTAAAACCTTATTCGAAATCTATTAAGAACTTAATATTATTTTAATTATTGATGAAAAGTATTTTGACAAATAATAGCCATGCGCGTAATGTTGTATACAATTTATAAAACTAAGCTTGCTATTATACGCCTAAATATTTACTGGATATTTTCTACGCCCCACAGAAAAACAATGTATACCTACATATTTGACATTTGTATCACATAGCGATAAAGGTAGGTTTACGTATTTAAAATTATGATTGAAGCCATGTTCAGCGAGCTACGTTGTCCGTGTGGTTTTTATTGTATTATTCTGGTTGGCCGTTGTAATAATGGTATCATTCACTAACCATGATCTACCAAGAAATTTCCTGAGTTGAGCCGAGCTTAACTTATGTGACAAGGCAAATGTTTGAGGTTGCTATGGTAACGTAATTATATTACTCATCGTTGCTAGGAGCCACCTAGATACTGTACCGCGAATTTATTATTTAACGTTAGTTATAAGTTATAACATTAACGTCATCTTTGTCATTGTTTTGTTGGCATAGCAACTGAAATGGTCAGAAAAAATTCAGTTAAAAAAATTTATTAGGAAAAAAGGTTAGTTGTATCTATCACAAAAACATAATATAATAACTATACATAATATTATTATAATAGATATGGTTATGGTATACAATTGAGGTTGTGCTCAATCGTAATAATACATAGGTATGTCATAGGTAGGTACTATACACATGTTGCTCCGATAAGACCGTGCTTAATCATGTTTTACCGAAAAAATGCAAACAAACCCAATAATCGATAATCACAACAAATTAAATTACTTTATTATTACTAATTAAATTATTGTTTGTCGTTTGAATGCATATTATAATACAATATATTTTATTTGTTATATCTTATTTTTAATGTGTTCCGTTGCTTTCGATTTTCTTTGATAAACCATTTGTTTACTTTTTGAGTTAATACTTTAATAATTTATACAATTATACTACATATATTTAAAAAGAACATGGGTTGTATTTTGCAACAAACATACAGGTAGTTAGCTTTGCCTAGTAAGTAATAAGTAATTAATAAGTATATAGCTGATCGAGGTATCTACACTTATTTGCAATTTAGCTGCAACCTATTTCTTAAGGCTCCGAGTTAATGTTTTATATCTTGCGTATGGTTGTAATCTTATCACTCTTAATGATATGATATTTATAAATAATTACAAGTAAGTTATACCATCTGAATATATAACTACGCAGTGGTGAAATATTATTAATTGCGATCTGTGGTCATTGGTCAGTTGTAGACATGGTAATTGGTATAGGTACTCACTCTGGGAAATGTTTCGTGGACGAGACGTTCGAGTTCTACGGATTCTCTGTGGCCCAGATCTTCGAGCAGCTGACCCCCGTCATAGCGGCTGTACGCCGATTTATTGTGCCGCCTTTGTAATTGGACCGCAGCGTGAGTGGTAAACTTTGACGACCTTTGAGAGTCTTTACTTCTGTGATGCGAATACATCGGCGCCGTATCGTCTAGAACCGCTGCGGACGAGACGACGAAGGGTACTGAAACGGGCGCCGTTCGAGAACGGCCAAGTTATCGAAAACGAGACTGCAGAAGACACAAAATAGTAATATTATTTCTGATAGAAAAATTAGTTTTATCGCCCTATACTCTTAAGGTATATTATACGATATGGTATATACCAGCTGTATAAATTGTACCCACGGCGAATTTGGAGGATTTTAAAATCGTACACTGAAATTACATTTAAATGCGTACTTTATTGAATCTATCGGATTTTAAACAATATTTTACATACATTTAAAGGTAATAATGATACCATTCGGTGTTAACGCCGTTTGCTCACCCGACGCGCGGCGAGACGATCTGGACGAGTGCTACTCGTAGAATGTGATATAGTATGGTTAGGTATTACCATCGATATATACAACAATTTGTATATATCTATGGGTATTACATTTTTACTACTGCTACTTGATAACGTAATTATCGTGTTATTAACAATATAATTACAAATTATAAGAATGTTTGTTATTATTACTGTTATCGCCAACGTCGTCATAGGCGCACACTGCCTGGCAGCCACAATCATCGACATCGGATGTTTAGTATGATAATATTATGTTATAACTAAAATATTATTTGTATTATTTTAAAATTATTGAAAATAGTTAAGTATGATGTCTGTGTCTTATTGCAGACGGCGCAAAGATCACCACTCTGCACGACTGTGGGACGTGCATTTACTGTGACAACTGACAACACTGAAAACTGATATTGTGAGCCGACAGTAAACCGTAATGAAAGCGAACTCTTTATGTCGGAGATAACGGCGGTAGACTCGAGATTCCTCGGCATCGCGGGGGGGGGGTATTCTAGTATGTCAATGATAACCAATCGCATATGACTTTTTTTACATACAAAATAATAATAAATGATAATATTTTTTCATCGTCAATAAACATAAACCGAATATAATGACTGGGTTTTAGATATAACTATACATCCACTTATCTTAAGTTCTAAAGAGCATTACCTAAACAAACAAAATATTTATGTGACCTTCTGCACCTTTAGACTTTAACTATATACAATATGTATATTATATTACATATAAAAATATATTATAAACCTATAAACTAATATAAAATAATAGCGTACTTGACTGTTTATAATTATATACAATATAATGCATACATATATATTTTATATACGTAAACTGTAAACATAGTATGTCTGTATCAAACAAAAATAATATTTAAATTTAAATTATAAGATTTATACCTAGGTTTGTTGAAAAAGTTTATAAGCTATTGAAATAGTCCTGGAAAATTGTTTGAAAATAAATCAATTATGATAATTTGATTAAAGTGTTAATACCACGTATGTGATTATGGCTTACATTAACTCCATCTCTTTGTTCTTGGACTCATATTGACAAATGACAATATCGTATGCAATGCATTTAGGTTTTAACTTTTATTAAAATAATTGCTGAGGAACTCAAACTTTATAACTGTCTACGAAATTTTTAGAAGTTTAAATTAGATTGCATCATTATATAACAAATATGTTAACTTCAATAATAATTATGGATTTTTAATAACTTTTTTAATAGCATTTTTGAAAGTACTAAGAAATACAATTTTGCCCATTAGGTGGATTAAAACCGTTTTATTTGTTTGGGGTAAAACGGTGTATGATCCGGTTTTATGCTTTGAAATAGTAGAAATTAGTAATAAAATGGTTATTTTATTTTTAAAATTAGAGATAAAGGACTTTAAAATACGTTTGTGTATTCACTATTCATATTCTACCATCCACAAAAATGTAAGTCAAATGTAAAATCAAAACTAACACAATTCTCATTCTTAGTTAACACACTCAAGCCATCCATCCGGTTATGCCTCTATTTTACTTTTTTTAACCTCACTCATAGATAAATTAAAAAAACACTTATGTCATAATCATACAAATATTTCTGTTTCTCATTTAGGCCCAAACAATTTTATTGTATAACTCTTTGGTGCTCTATCTGAAAAAATATATTTTTAATAATGTAAATATATGTATAATGTTTTTAAATTAATGCTATAAAATTCAATAAATATACTGAGGTGTGTACTTGGATAATACTTCTTAATAAAACAAAACATTACTAAATATACCTACCTGATTGTTTTTATACAAAATATTGTAATTTGCAGGTTAAGTTTAGTTTTAATTTGTCTTTAATTAAATTTTTTGTCTTTTATATATATAGATTATAATATATAGCTGCAGTAGTCGTCGTCTGCGAGTCAGTGTACGAAACTGTATGTTCTCATGGGTACCTAATTTCAAGGTATACACAAAATAATATTGTATACGCATATGCGAAAATTTTATTGAATTTTAGATATTTTTTTTTAAAAATAAGGAGTTGGGGCTTTGAAAAATGTTCAAACATATATAGGGGATCTTTTCAATATTTTTGAAGCGGCTAAGGGGCGAAGCTCCCACCCAATCATTTTCTATAATTATGCATTTAGTAATGCATATATTATCAATATAATCATTAAATACAATTTTTATAATGTATTTATATATTGTATATTGTATATTGATTAATTCGTCCAAAACAGTATAGGTACGCAGAAAAAATGTACCTATACGCCTATCATTTTTATAGCAAATATGTATTATTATAATATAAATCGTCGTGTTTTTCTGCAATTTTATCAGAAATAACAATGTAACTAAATTGAAGTAATTAATGGAAAATGGAAATAACACAACAGCCAGTATCCTCAACTAAATATGTATTGCTGAGGAAAATTCTGAGCACCCACCCACCAACAAACATTTATTAGAAAATACAATATATTATCAATATTCAATTACAGTTGCTCATATATTTCTGTTAACTTTTGAGCGATATTAAAATATAATTTATCTAAAAATTTTAAAAATAAATCTTTATTTTTATAGTTAGTTACAAAATATATAATATTTCTAATTGAAACAACAATTTTTTTAAAGGAAAACATTTAAAATATTATAATATAATAGACAATTATTACCTATTAAAGAATTGAAAACTGTTTCTAAAACCACATTAATTATTTTCTTTACATTTTTGAAAGGAAGGTGCTTATTTTGACGTCTCAAACTGCACTATACTATTTATTTAAATTGAGAATACGTTGATAGGAAAAATATTTGGATAGTGTTACTTTTTTTCAAACATAGGTATTATTGGTGACATACCTGTTAATGGCTTTTATAATACAAATTTTACTTTGTGGAAGTATTTCTGAGTGAACTTCAAAGATCAACTAGATAGTTAACGGCACCGTCGAAGAACAATTTTGTCAAAAAAATTTTCGAAAATGTTTATTCTAAATACGAAAGGGATTGAAAACAGTTTATAAGACGACGTTAATGTTCCTTAGATTTTTAAAAGGGAGGAGCTTATTTTAACGGCTCAAAATAGTTAAACTGTGTTATACCTACTATTGGAAAAATTTTTTCTAAATGTTACTGTTGGCTGCAGTTTTTAAAACGACGTTTATTTTATTTTGTCTATGTTACTTAACTGAAAAATATTTTGCACATTTAAGTGATTTTGACGAATTCTGTAAAAATTCTAACTTTAGGCAACCATAAAAATGTACTGTGAATTTAAGCTCAAATTTTTTTAAATTATATTTTTAACAACTTATAAAGAATCCATCATCACAATTTCAAGTTCTTTGATCTAGCGGAAAATTATTTATTGACAATTATTGAAAAAAAATCTTAAAAAATCGATAGGTAATGTTTAATGGCTATAAAGCTGTAAAAGTGTCACAATATTTTCTAAATGTGATGAAGTATAGAAAATACTAATAATAATTAATGTTTATACTGTAGGTATTATTTTGATTACAATTTACTAGTAGGATAATGAATATAGATAAATAAGTAATAACATTATAAATACTACGTTTTCTTCTAAAAATGATTCATTGCGCAACTTGTATTGAGTATTATTTTGTTTATAATTATGTTACACTAATTAGTCATAGTATAATAAATAATTACCCAACATCCAACCACACACCCACCCACCAAATTGTGCATGTGTTGTTGAAGCAACTATAGGATCGTCACCATTGACAACAGCCTAACCTATTATTATATAATATATTTTGTGTCTACCTTCAATTTGTTCATACTATTTAAATGTACTATTTACATTCTATTAAATTCTATTATTATGGTTTTTGAAAACAAATTGTAAAAATGTATAGGTATTAAACTATAATAATATTAAATAAATATCTATGCATAAACAATTATTTAGATAAATTAATAATCATAACTGAAGTTATCGTCTATGATAAATAAACGATGACCAGTAGATTTTAATCTAGATAAGATAATAGATCTAGATAAGTCTCAACAAATACGGTGAACCACCAACTACCTAGATCCCGGCCACCTAGATCCCCATGATCCAAAGACACATCCGGGGTAACCATAGGGAACTAATTGTCATCAATTTGGTTTTACATAACAATTCGAAGGATATTTTCGTTTTAACAGCAAGGTAACCACTGGGAGGATCTAGATAACCATGGAGATCTAGTTGGTCGGGGATCTAGATGACAAGTTACTAAGCATAGTAAAGAAGTCTTCATCCAAATCTGAAATATCAATCAATTTCGGCCCGCGATTATATTTGCTCTGGGTCAAGTCTTCAGGTCTTCGCTGGTAGTACACAAAGTACAGTGGATAAAATTCATTATTGTTATACTTTACGTATACGCGGCCGTTGTAGCTCATCGTCGTATCCGCACAGCCGGGTGGTACGACCAAGGATCTCCCTGCATACTCCCTCTGCCCCGAGACCACGTAAGTTTCACCAACCAGCACCCAGCATATCATGATCACACGCGTTCCTGCAACCAGTCACAAGTAAATAGAAAAAGAAACGAAACGCTCACATTATTGACAAAACATGGTGTATGTATAATTAGTATTTTGGGCTTCGGGGTTTTTGAGTCAATTTCCAAACGAGATGAAAAAAAGTTCAAGTGGACAACTGCAACATTTCTTTCACTTTCAACGATTATCGCCGTGTATACATATATTACTATATCTCATTTTGTGAGAAATTTTTTCTTCTTCCTGTAAAAGTAGACTCAAAACCAGAGCCTAAGACTAGGACGTGTGCTGCAGTAGCAAAATATCTTAATTTTAGGCCCTGCTCAAAACCCCTAAATAAATACTACTGGTGTCTGGTATAACAACTGGTAGGTACCTAAACAAACCAGAGATAAACAATAAATCTGTTATAAATATAATATAATATAATAATGAATAAGAACAAGCCGACTCATTGAATAGCAACGACAAACAACACTTTATTTTTCAAAACTTTTTGACATATTGGGCATTTGTACTGTTTTATATAATTTGAAGCAATTGAAAAACATTAAGATGTATTTGTTTTTACTAGATATTTTTTGAGTTATAATTTTTAATTTTTTTGATTGTCAGTGAAAATTTTTAAGAAAAATAAGCTTTTATAAAATGATGATATTTTATATACGGTTAGGTATAAGTAAACTCACTTTTAAATAAAATACTGTGTTGCGATGAGATCTTCAAAATAAAAAAAAATAAGGACTCAAGAAAAAAAAAAGTTTGTTACGATTATTGTGAACGGTAACCAGATTAAGTCCGTTTGGATAGATTTTGGGTATAAATCCGCTCCACTCAGTAAACACCCGAACATGTTTATGGGTTTTTAGGGGCATGATGCGTTTGGTAATTGGTTAGGCGTATTATTTAGTCAACAAACAAAAATTAATAATAAACACTAATAATATACCTTCGCTGGGGGATTTGTTTGCATAATAGTTGGCGTAGTCAGCGTCGTCACTGAACGAAACTCCGCACCCGAACTTGTTGCGCCGGGTGCGCCTCCAGTCGAGTCCGCAGTCCAACGACTCCATGGCTCTGGATTCGGTGGTCACGTGGAACAGCAACTTCTCCTGGACCCTTTGGCCAAGGTCCAAATTCATTTCTTCTTTACGCAACATATACATGCCGTACATCTGCGGGGCGCAGACTAGGCGTATCTGACTGATGTTGCACTGCAATTATATTAATCGACATTTTATGTTACTCAAATATATACCTACCCAATATTATATAATATACTAACCAATAAATTGTTGTTAAGTTTAATAACTAGAGAAGTACCTAATTACAATCATATGAAAAATTACACTAATAATAATAGTTAATAAAAACTAAAAACTAAATAATATGTATTAAATATTAATATGCGATTTTCTAAAATTGAAAATTAATACCTAGTAAATAATAATTAAAATAATCGTATTGTGTAAGCAATAGTTATCAAAAACTCATATATTGTTTGTTCGTTTATGCCGTATTTAATATAATTTTTAATGCATGTCATTGGGATGTAAATCGTCAAGTATACTCGTATATTGGACCATTTTTATATCAACCGATATAATAATTTATTTTGTAAAATAAATTCAAAACAAAAGCGTAATTGTATCCAATTAATTTTGAAAAACGATGGTTCTACGCTTCTGTTTGGTTGTTTGTTCGATGTCATTTGTCATTTAGTGGTTATTCCAAGTTGACGGAGGATATATATAGTGGAGGAATATTTAGTAGGTAACGGTAGGTGGGGCAATGGGGCATGTATTTCTAATTTCAGAGCATTGCAAAACATTTAACATTTTAAGAAAGTGAAATTTGGTTTGATTAATTATATTACAAATATTATAAGCTTCAATAATAACTACGCATTTTTAAAAAAATCTCAAGATTAACTTAAAAAAAAAAAAATTTAAAAATATTCAAACATGTTACCATACAAAAATTAAATATACAATTACGTTCCTATTATTTCTACAATTCTACATGATTAACAACAAAAAGTTATAATAAGATACATCCTAGTGAGGGTGGCTGACACAGTGTTGAGCCGAGATAAATATAATTTTATCTAGATAAATCATGGGATAAATTTTTTTAATATTTTTTTATGACACTCTCCGTAAGCTAGTAGCAAAATAGAATAACTTAATACTATGTTATCGAAAATGTCGATAGTTATTAGTAAATACTACCTACTTAATTGTCTACCTATATTCTATAGTAAATAAAAGCGTTTTAATAAATTAAATTAATCTAGATAAGCTCAACACTGGTTTCTGAGTATTTTGTCTGACGCTAATTCTGCCACTGAGCACACCTAAGAACACCCAAGAACCCAGACACTGAATGTCAATAATACATGTTAGTGAACTTCTTCTACACATTTTTTTTTTACTGCAATAGTGTCAATGTCAAACTTATTATTATCCAAACAGGAAAACAAGAGTGAGGCGAATGGGAGGGTTATAGATACGTATATTAGTTTAGTAATTAGTACGAGTGTAATAAAGTGTTACATTATTATGCTGTTTAATAAGTAATTCCAATAAGTAATAAATAATAAGTTATTAATAACTAATGTACTTCGTATATACTACACTGTACTATTATAATACCTAGATATATGAGTATTGTAAATGTACCGTTAATTTTACCAATTATTTTTTACCCAAAAAAATGTTGTGTGGCCCCTCTAACCAAATTCAATCAAAAACGCCTATTCCGAATTGCAAAGAGTTTTTTTTTTTTTTTTTATCGACTGATAATAAATACCAATACAACAATTATTATACTTATCATATTTTCTAGACACCGTATATAAGTAATAGTTAAAAGTAAAATGATATAAATGTTTTGAGTTTTGAACATAAAAAAATAAATAAATTAGGTATGTGGTAATTTTGATAAATTGATTTTAATTATTTATAAAATTTTATCATGAAAAATTAAATATTCATAATATATGTACCGATACACAACGTGTAACGGGATAAACCGTCACTATATCAAAATGGTCCTTTTCAGGACCACCTAACACAACAGTATGGCAACGTAATGCGACACAAGTAATAGACGCGACATATTGGAATAAGTAGTTTGTCAACAGGAAAGTTTCACGGAAATTACAAGCGAAAACCACATTAACGAAGCGAACACCAACGGGTCGAGGTGTGGTTATTGCTTGTCAAAGCAACCACCCTCGACCAATCACAGGACAACAAAGAGAAACAAATAGTATATATACCGGGACAGTTCACCGGTCAAATCATCATACAAACCACCAGGTGCAACACTCACGTCTCACGACTTGGACTTGTTGACCCAAAGTGCCGAATGGCAAATCTCTGCAGGTGACTTCAACGCCAAACACCCTCTCTGGTATAGCCACTCGACAAACGCTGCCGGTCGCGTACTTTTTGACCACGTTCAACAATCGGACTATACCATTACTGCTCCCTCATCCCCCACACACTTACCGACAAACGCCAGATACAGACCTGACATACTTGACATCGCACTCGTTCGACTACCTTATCCTACTCAAATCGACAACCTCAACGAGCTATCTTCTGACCACAACCCTATCCTTCTGGAGACCTTGTGTACTCCGGTATCATCGTCCCCTCCAACGACTAACCGCTTCATTAACTGGACAAAATACAAGACAATTCTATCCAACTTACCAAACCCAACTGAACGACCGACCATCAACAGTGAGTCAATCGATTTGGCAATTGATACTCTTACCAAAAACATACAACACGCGATTGAAGCTAGCGTATTTACCCCTAAACACAAAAACTCTTCCTTTTTACTACCTGACTACATACAACTTGAAATAACTGAAAAAAACCAATTACGCCGTCAATGGCAAAGAAACCGTGACCCGACTACCAAACGTCAACTTAACGCCAAAATCTCATTAATCAGAACTTTACTCGAAACTCACAAAACTGACCAGTGGGACATTTTTCTTAATTCTCTTGACCATCAGGACGGTTCCATATACAAACTAAACAAATGTCTCCTCCACAAACGTCCTGCATCCCACCCTCTTACCGGCCCCAACGGCCTAGTCTTTCCGGCCATCGATCGAGCCGAGTTGATAGCCGACTCTCTCGAACTCCAATTCCAACCAAACCCTGGTCCCGACCTTCCAGAAGTTTCTGCCCACTCCAACTCGCTTCGAAACATAAATATCACAAAATCTAATTTATTCACCACTCCTGGCACAATCCAAAAAATCATAAACACACTCCGCAAAAAGAAAGCCCCTGGTGACGATCTCATCACCAACACTGCTCTTAAATTCCTACCAAATAACATTCTACTTTCGTTAACACAAATTATAAATTGCTCCCTCAGAATTTGCTACTTTCCACGTGCTTGGAAAAAAGCAGTAATAATTTCCATCCCCAAGCCGGGTAAAGATCACACACTTCCCGAAAATTACCGACCTATCGCTCTACTCTCCTCCATATCAAAAATTTACGAACGAATCATCCTCTCTCACCTTCAAACCAATCTTCGAGACAAAATCCGCCCAGAACAATTTGCCTTCAGACCTGAACACTCTACCACTCTACAACTGACCAAACTTACTCACCAACTTAGTCAGAACTTTAACGACAACGTAAACACCGCCTCCATTTTCCTTGACGTGGAAAAAGCCTTTGACCGGGTCTGGCACGTCGGTCTCCTCTACAAACTGTCCCAACTCAACATCTCGACTGAAATCGTTAAAATCATCGAATCCTTTCTCACTGACCGCACTTTTGTCACAAAAATCGAAGACTCGTTCTCGTCCACCAGACACATACTCGCAGGCGTCCCTCAAGGATCCTGCCTTTCACCTACTCTCTACTTGACTTACATTAACGACATACCAACAACTCCTAAAGCTCACCTCTCACTATTCGCTGACGACACTATGTTCTTTACTTTCGACAAAAACCCGAAACGTGCAGCCATACAATTACAACACCAACTCAACCTAGCTACCACATGGTTTCATCGCTGGAAAATCAAAATAAACCCTACCAAAACAATAGGTATTCTTTTCGGACGTTCCAATACTACTCACATCCCACCACTACTACTCGACAACCATCCAGTGACTTGGTCCAATCATGCCAAATACCTCGGCGTTACAATAGGGCGCAAACTCACCTTCGACAAACACGTTCAAGACATCACCAAAAAAAGCCACTCGCGTCCGCGGAATTCTTTACCCCATTCTCAACCGTTCTAGCCCTGTCCCAAAATCTTCAAAGCTCAATATTCTAAAACTCTACGTCTCTCCAATTCTTTCTTATGCTGGCCCCTCTTGGGCTCCTTTCATCGGTCCCTCACATTGGAGACGTATCGAATCTGTCCAAAACATCGGCATTCGCACGATAACGGGTATGCCCACTATCGTTAAAAATTCGGTCCTTCTAAAATCAGCAAATTTCAATTCAATCAAAAATTCTATTCATAACCAATCTAAATCGATGTTCTACAAAAACTCTTTCTCTACTCATTCCCACATCCGACTCTTAGGGAAATCTCACACCCCACCGTCCACAAAGTGTAGAATCAAACCCTACCCTTTGACATGGGCTGACCAACAAATTTAAAACCACCTTCCTAAACTTCCATCCACTAGTAGAGGCAAAAGCCTGGTATAGTTTCACGGCTTAGCCATCCCTCCAAAGCAAAGCAAGCAAAGCAGGTCAAATCATCTTCAACACCAGTCTTTAACATATCTTCTACAAATCAACAAACACTATAGAAGACCCGAAGACCTGAAGACCCGAAGACTATCAACGCAGCAGCAACACCGACCTGAACGACGCCGGCGAAGCTGATCCGACCTAGCCAGTCCACGACGACGCACCCTGAACGCACCGGTCTAGCGTAATCGCTCGATACCGCCGAGACTCTACAGTGCCCGGCACACCTGGTCAACAAGCGCCACTTCACCGACCGACGACGCCAAGCCTACCGTGTGCATCCAGCGATCGACGGCAACGGATAGCCGCCACACCGGGACCTGACTAATCCATCGACGGCAACGTATAATACAATTATACCCCGGCGACTTACTACTGTCAGTCCACCCGTTCAATCGAGTCCAGTCACGCCGTTGGACGAACCCCAAGACACGCCGGGAACCGACTTCGCGACGTAGCTTGGCCAATCGACCATTCATCAAGCCGACAAGTAATACCACGTTCCCCCCTACGGTGAGCTTATTCGAGTTTCACCGCGAGGAAGAACCGAACCCACACGACTTGCTCGAGTCCGTGCATGGACGGTTCCTACTCTCCCCTATTATTGTATTATTTCTACAATACGTATAGGCAAGTCCCGACTATTGTTTTGCTCGCGCCTCTTCAGGCCCGAACCCGCCCGCCGCGGCCGCTTCTTCAAGCCTGCCGCGCGGCCCGGGATAACTTGCCCCGATCGTTATAAACATTATTTATTGATTATATAATAAACGATACCATAACGATACACAACGCATTGTTATTCACGATCACGGACGTCCCGGAAAGACACTCCGTATCAAACGATGTATCCATTTTTAATTCATTATTGTTATTATTAAAAAGAACTAAATTTGTCAAGAATATAAAAATAGTATAATAACAATCGTATTTACTAATGTAAAAGATGGTCCTAAGAATTTTTGTTATTTAGATTCTATTCTTACCATTTTTATTGGTAAATTTACCGATATTTTTTTTACGTAAATTCTCCATCTCTAAATTAATACCTGATATTAGCATTTCACTGGTACTCACGTTGGAAAATGTATTTTTCACGAGTTGTTTGACATCGTTGTAGGCATCGCTGTTCAGTTCGTTAAGCAGCGGACGGTCATAATTATTAATATTATGGCAGAGCATGAGCGGCGAGGTACGCTCTAAAAAACGTGTTTTTGCGTGCTCGGTAAACTCCAAATGATTATTAAGGATGGACTTCATAGAGCTGCTACAACTGTAGTACATCGTCGTCGTGCAAAATCGCGGCTGATGAACAGAATACTATGTTGAACCGTCAGCGGTGGGCTTAATAAAAAGAAAACACAAGCAACTATTGATGGAAAAACAAGTATAATACGCTTAAGTTGTGTCTAGAGGGTTTGGCAACAGTTTACACCGAAGTTACATGTAAATAGTTAATACGTACTTATTTACAACCAATATTTAAGTTGCGTTTGTAGGGTTTGACAATTTCACACTTTAATAACTCTTAAATTAATAATAATTAATGTGTATGTCATATCTTCCGTATCAGACGCTTCGTACATATTATATTATTTATAATCGTTAGCTTACCTGGTTGAGGGATTCTAAAAAAATATGTCTAGCACGGTGAAGTGGATTCCGTTACTCGTAGAATACAACTATTTGAGAATGCTAACTTTACAATTGTTAGGTATTGTACCTAATGCCCGATTTTATTATCTCATTAATGTACTTAATTATTGTTATTATTCCGTCGTCATCGGTGCTCACTGGCAGAGCTGATAATCAACGGACGCTTGTCGCTATTAGTATAGATATCTATAATTTATTTATTTTGTTTACGATGTTTGTGTCTTATCGGCTTTGTAGAGGTCGGCAAATTAGTTGTATAATATGTCGTTCTCTTAACGAAGTTGCCTAGTGTACAATGTACCTGCTTCAACCCAGTGGCGCAAGCACGTATCCAGGATCAATTTCGGGGGGGGGGGTGTGTTAAAATATTTTAATATAATAACTAATATGTAGTTAGTTTTTGTTACCTATATTATAGATATTATCAATTTAAATATTTAAATTTAAAATATGAGATTTATTGATTTATACCTAGTTTTGTTGAAAAAGTTTATGAGCTATTGAAATAGTCCTGGGAAATTATTGAAAAACAAACCAATTACGATTATTTGATTAAAGTGTTGATATCATGTATGTTATACACTTATACAAATAACAACAATAATACTCATTTTAAATAATACGCGTTATTAGATGATATTAAAAAAATTTTGTATTGATGGTTTAAGGCTCCACTTTCTCACTATACCAGCAGTGCCATCTGATAATAAGGCAGATAATAAATATTAAATTGTATTAATCGTCATCAATCGGCCTAGTGTGTGTCAGTGTCGACGTCTCGTCGCAGTGTTCACTGTCCTCATGTGGAATACTGCCAGCCGAGCAAACTGTTGATAGATATAAGTGGCATGATACACGGGTGTCGGGTATACTGCCGGTTTACTATTCAATTCGACCACTACCATGACGATAACAACGAGTGTGTCACCGTAAGTTTTAGAAAAAAATCAAAGAAATTGCAAGCTCTTTGAGAAATATTATTATACGAAAGACATAAATGAATTTTATTTTTCACATCTGGCAATTTTGCATCGTGTGGTCATTGGTCAAACACGGTTGTGGCGAAATTTCCGCATTCATATTTTCCAAAGCGGAAAAAACTCATAGTGTGGCAAGAGGCTTACGATTACATTGTTCCCAACGTTCTGCTTCGGGATCACATACGTTTCTAAAATTAGAACGGAACATAATATTAGCTAGGTACAATCTGATAGTCATTAGTAGGAATTATATTATTATTTTATTTATTTTTTATTTCTTATTGAACTTAACCCGTCAACTATGGCCATTAGCTGTTTTGTTGTTTTTATATTGGGGAGGGGGGAGGGGTTGGAACGGTTGGTTGAAACACGTTTTTAGGTTTGGCAGAATTTCAAGTTGGGCACCCGTAGGTTTCAGCCATGCCCGGGTGGGGCTTGCGGAATCTCTCTCCGAACACCGTGACTGCCCGAAGAAAAACGCCACCCGTGGCCGAGTTCGAACCGGCGTCGATGCGCGTCGTAACTGACGCCTTTAGTCCACTCGGCCACTCCGTCCTCCTACTCCTCCTTATTTAATTGTGCTAGGGTATATGGTATATTTAGTGATAATGATACTGAAGAGAACAACTTACAGTGACATAATATATTTAATATTATTATTATGATACTAGCTGATCCTGAGTACTTCGTTGCCCGTTAAATGTACCAACTCTATATGACTCAAAATTTGTTCAATTCTTTATTTAATATTCGGTGTATTGTGTTCAAAATTTATCTTAACTTTTCTGTTACCAGTAATAACATTTCTGATTTGCAGCAGTATATTACCAGGTAGGCAATCTACCTGCGGTAGATCGCAGACCCAGTGCTGTTTGTACGCAAGTGTATGATTTAACTCTAAAGTATTAAAGTTATACCACGCTTATTTTGATATAATACGGTGGATTAATATAATCAATTAATACATAATCCTAACCTAACTTAACTGTACTGAAATCCGATGAATAAAAAAAACCAAATTTAACCCTTTTTAAATTAGCATATCTTCTTCCCAGAGATCTACACACAAACATTCATTTATATAAAATATAGCTGATCCTGCGCACTTCGTGGCCCGTAAAAATGACAAAAAAATTGTGATTGTTTAACTCCTTTTTGGTGTAACTCACTGCAGTAAGTGCAGCTCAGCCACCCTGGTAGGCATGTGCGAAAATTCGATTTGATGCATGCTTGAACCTGATTTGCCCGATCACGGATTAATCAATAGCAACCAATAATATATAAATACTATTTCTATTAATTATTTCTTCTATAACCAATAGCCACCATTTATAAACAAATACTTCCATCGTAAATCTCAAAATCCCTGTTTGAGCACTTCTATTAATTGGTCGTATTAATTGGATGTTATATAGCCTATAGCCTTCCTCGATGAATGGACTATCCAACAAAAAAATAATTTTTCAATTCGAACCAATAGTTCCTGAGATTAGCGCGTTCAAACACACAAACTATACAGCTTTATATATTAGTATTATAGATATAATAATTAGGTAAGTTGTGACATTTGATGTGAATATCAACTATCATTACAATTAACAATTGATGTACGATAGTGTATCAATGGTATTATCATTATCATTTAATATTTAGACTTTCTACAATATATGAGGGTGGACTGATAAGTAATTCCATGACATATAACATTATAAATTATAATTGAAATAATATCATAATGAAAATGAAAATATTTTTTATGAATAGCTCATACAAATCACACTAACAATTTCTTATCCATTTATTCTCATTTTTTTGTAGGTGCATTGCTCAAGAGATAGCCAGGTGCGTCAGTGCAATTAATTACATATTATGAACAATGACTAAAAATGTGTTTGACAAAACCATATGGTAAAATTATATACTTTCTAATTTCTTGTTAATAATATATGGACATATGTCATATTTATTGTATTTTTATCAAGGTAAAACAATTTTTAACAGGAATATGTACTATGGTAATTTAAAATCACATAAAAAGTAAAACAATTAAATACACTATGATAATCAGAAAGTAGGTACACCTCACATCATATGGGCACCGACAACAAATTATTGTCGTCGGGTTGTCATCACAGACCCAGCGGTGGCGTCAACTTCTGCCGCTGCGGCTATGGCTGCAGCGCGGCGGCTTTGACGTTCGAGGCGCTTGATAGCGGATTTATTTTGGCTTAGCTTCTTCGGTTTCCGAGTGGCGGCAGCAGCGGTTTTGGCGGCGGCTTTGGCTTTGGCATTGGCTGACTTTTTGGTGTCGACGGCTTTAGCGGCAGCTACGGCTTTGGCTTCGGCGGCGGCTGCGACTTCAGCGGCAGCTACGGCTTTGGCTTCGGCTTTGGCTTTGGCGTTGGCTGACTTTTTGGTGTCGACTGCGGTTTTGGTGGCGGAGGCAGATGCGAAGACTGCTACGACTTTGGCGGCAGCTACGGCTTTGGCGGCGGCGTTGGCTTTGGCGTTGGCTTCTGATTTGGCGACGGCTGCGACTATGGTGGCAGCTTCGGCTTTGGATTTGGCTTTGGCGGCGGCGGAGGCTTTTGTTTTGGCGCCGGAGGCAGAAGCGACGGCGGCTACGGCTTTAGCGGCATCCACGGCTTTGGCTTCAGCGTCGGCTGTGGCTTCGGCGGCGGCTGCGATTTTGGCGGTGACTTTGGCTTTGTCTGTGGTTTTGATGGCGGCTGCGACTTTAGCGGCAGCTACGGCTTTGGCTTCGGCGGCGGCTGCGACTTTAGCGGCAGCTACGGCTTTAGCTTCGGCGATGGCTGCTATTTTGGCGGCAGGTACGGCTTTGGCTTTAGCGGCGGCTGCGAATTTGGCTTTGGCGTTGGCTGAGTTTTTGGTGTCGACTGCGGTTTTGGTGGCGGAGGCAGATGCGAAGACTGCTACGACTTTGGCGGCAGCTACGGCTTTGGCTTCAGCTTTGGCGGCGGCTTTGGCTTTAACGTTGGCTTCTGATATGATGATGTTTGCGACTTTGGTGGCAGCAACGGCTTTGGATTTGGCTTTGGCGGCGGTGGAGGCGGAGGCAGAGGCTTTTGTTTTGGCGGCGGCAGCAGTTTCGGCTATGGTGGTGAGGTCAGCTTTTACTGCGAAGGGGTCTTGTCTCTTCTGGCTGATAGACTTTGCACCGATATATCTACTACTTGCTGACAGAGCGTCCGTAGCTCTTCCTGCTGCCGCAACTTCTGGAGGTTTTTATTGTTAGTTCCGAAAAAAATGCATTCATTTCGAAGTTTCGGTGACCACAAGTAGTAAACAAAAAACAGTGGGTAAGATTCAAAGTCATTGTATTTCACGAAAACGTGGCCGTCAGGGCTCACCGTCGTGTCTGCCGTGTCTGGAGGTATGATCAAGCTGCCTTTTTCGGTCACCTCATAAATATCATCCATCAGCACAGTGCTGACAATGATAACTCTAGTCCCTTCTGCCGTCCGCGATAAAAGAAAAAGATGTGAAATGTAAGTGGTGCTGTTATAATATACCTATACGTAATACTAAGTAATACTATAATAACACAAAACTTATATCGTTTACACATAATTTAAATTGTTTCGGTCGTTACAGAACAACAAATTAAAAAAAAAAAATATTAATTAG